CGCAGCCCGGGGCTCTCTGGGGGACAAACCCCAACTTTTGGCTTGGAGTGGAGCAAGATAGGCCCTGGGGCGGAGGGAAGAGAGAAAATCTACCTTGAGGGAAAAGTAAGCAAAAGAGAGATCTGGCTTGAGCACCTGGCAGGGGAAAGGCGCTCATGATCACGGGAGAGGGGAGCCTGAACTTTTCTCCACCAGAAAGGAGGGCTCCGTACTGGGGAAAAAAGGAAAGCTGAGCCAGAGGAGAGCGTCTGCTTGGTCAAAGCTCAGGGGTGAAAAAACTCTGTGCCTTTGCCCTCCCTGCCTGCAGAAAGTACCCCATTTCCTTTGCCCCAGAGGAGCCCTCCTGGCACCATGAACGTCTTCCGCATCCTAGGGGACGTAAAAACTGCTGAAGATCCAGAAATCCAAGTCCTGTGCTGGTGAGTGCTGCCATACCTCAGGGAAGAAAGGGGGCCTTTTCTGGAGGGTGGCTCAGCAAGGGGTGCGAGTGAAATGGGTGCTGAAAGGGGTAGCAATACCCCATGTGAGCTGGCAGGCCTCCCTGGTGGGATCCTTGAGGGAAATCATCCTTCTCCAGGAAGTCTCCCTGCCGGGAGGAGAGGACTACATTGGAAGGATGTGATGTGGCAAGGCACTGGTATTGGGGTGGTGAAGCAAAGGGGAGGGCAGGAAGGCTGGAGGGAGGCAGAAAGCGAGTGCCAGAAGTTGTGGTGGCACCAAAACCTCAAGGGAAAGCTCCTTTAGGTCAGATGTCCTGCCAGAAGGCAGGCGGATACCGGAGGCTGCCCCATTCCTGGGGTACGAAACCAACACAGCAGCTTCCCACAAGAGGATTTTTCTGAGAGTTCATGGTGTCCTCCCCAAGAGACTTCAGGGCTGAGCTGCAGCACTGCAGCCATTATCACAGGTAGAGCAATGGGTGGGTCTGTCTGCTGCTCCACACCAGCAGTGACTAAGCTCCATCCGAGTCCCCAGGCCAGTCCCTGGTACTGCTGCTCTTCCCTGGTGTTGCAGATGTCACATCACACAACCCCCCGGCAAGGCAGGCTGGCAAAGAGGGTGAAGGAAGGAAGATAAAGGCATTTTTGATGACAGTAAGGGTGGAACTGGCCAAAGCAGTGAATGTGCCCACCCAGTGCTAGTCCCTATATCCCAAGGGAGGGCTCAGGGGTGTCAGCAGGAGGCTGCCCTGTTACTTGGGAGACTCCAGCCAGTCCTGGGGTTGGTCTAGAGCTACCACAGCACCTACACACCAGCCCAGGCTCACAAAGCAACATGCACATATACAACCATTCCCAAAGAAGGCGTAAGAGGAAACCACCATCCTAAGGGCCACCCCTCTCATCCGTCTTACCTTCCTTTCTTCTCCCTGTCACGCAGGCATCTCTGGGAAGAGTCAGATTCTTTTCGCCCTCGTCTTCACAACCCGCTACCTGGACCTGTTCACCACCTTCATCTCTGTCTATAACACGGTGATGAAGGTAAGGAGAAGGCAGTGTGGGAGCAGAGGTTCCACTCAGCTTGCTGAAGCTTCTCAGGGAAGCAAGGGTACATGGTCTGTAAGTTTTTCAGCTATGGATCATTAGTGCTACCGGTAGCTATACACAGGAGAGGTGGATAAGGGTCCTTACTTTGGTAACACTGGCCCTCCATTGACCAAAATGACCCCTCACCACAGTCAAGTGAGCAAGCTGGACCTGCCACATTTAGTACCACCAAAACCAGAACAAGATATTACAAATCAACATAATGGCGTCCATAGGGTGTCCAGATGGATGCCAGCAAGCCAACCTCTTCACACAGAGCCCTAGAGGGCTCAAGCAAGTGTGATCCTCATGGTGGGGCAATCTCTAGTTGACTGCTGGAGTATCTCCAGAAGCCAGCACAGAAAAAGCAGTCACCGCTATCTCATCCTGGCACAGCCCAACCAGAACCAGGTTGAAAGATCTTGACTTTGGCAAAGCTGGCCTGTCTTCAAGCACAGAAAGTGTGATTTCAGGTAAGGTCTTGCCATCTCCCTTCCCTCCCCCAGGTCATTTTTTTGATATGTGCCTACGTCACTGTGTACATGATCTACGTGAAATTCCGGAAAACATTTGACAGCGAGAATGACTCCTTTCGCCTCGAGTTCCTGCTGGTCCCTGTCACAGGCCTGTCATTCCTGGAAAACCACAGCTTCACGCCCTTGGAGGTAAGGAACACCTGAGGGAGGAAAGGGGAGGGGAAGCAGCAGCCTGGCACTATGCAGCAGTGCAAGCAACATATTGAATTGTTGAGTTTTTTTAGCAACAAAAGCAGGCAGGAAAGGCAAGGTTGACAGGCCTTGAAGACCATACCTTCTATAGAGCAGCTCAGTGATCTCTCAGTCCCAGCACAGCAGGCTTGTTTTCCCCAACTCCAGCAGCCCTGCTCATCCCACTCAGTGCTCTGTCAAACAAAAGCTTTGGCTCTTGACATGTATTAACCAACACCAGACTCTCCACTGCCTTCATTTTGCATCTCACAGATACTCTGGACCTTCTCCATCTACCTGGAGTCCGTGGCTATCCTTCCTCAGCTCTTCATGATCAGCAAGACAGGGGAAGCAGAGACCATCACCACACACTACCTTTTCTTCCTGGGCCTCTACCGCGCTCTCTACATTGCCAACTGGGTCTGGCGCTACTATACGGAGAACTTCTACGACCAGATTGCTGTAGTTTCTGGAGTGGTACAAACCATCTTCTACTGTGACTTCTTCTACCTCTATGTTACCAAAGGTAGGTAAAGGGGGGTTGGTATAAATCCAAAATTTCATTCACTCTTGCAACATATGGTGGAGCTGCAGCTTGCTACGTGCTAATTGTATGTGGCTTTATTCTTTGCTGTATTTGTGATGCACGTTTTAAACTACACTGTTTAAAATGCACCTATGGAATGCAAGTGGACATCTCTGTTCAAGAGGCTCTAGACGGGCATGTGAAACAAAGCAGAAGTTACATCAGAGCTAAGCCTGGTATAATCCCAGCTTGGGAAGTTAACAGTTGAGGTTTATTCAATTCTATATACATTTTTAAAGATTATAAGTAATGCAAAAGACCTTCAGGGGGGTAGAAGGGGAAGGTGGGAAACCAGCTGTAGGCTGACAATGTACCTGAGAGAGCAACTGCAGATACATGGAGATATTAAGCCTACTTTTTTATTTTGATGGACATGATGTAACATTCCCAAGAACCAATTCTGTAGGAAGATGGGCATCTGCACAGACATGACACCCCTTTCTTCTCCCCCAAATCAGATGCCCCTTCCATTTCAGTGCTGTGCTTTAGCAAAGAGCCACGTCAGAGCTAGCAAGGGCATCGAGGGCATGAAATCTGGTAGAACACGCCATGGTTTGCTGAGGCTGAAGTACACTTTAAAAGGCTTTTCTGTTGAGGAGGATGGAATTTGATGAGATCTAGCTGAGCGAACAAATATTTTCTTCCTTCTTCACATTCCCAAAATAGTCTGCCAAAAGCAGTAGTGACGGCCTGCATTTGATGCCTTGGGGGATGGATCTTTGGTAGCTCCATGCAATATACCTGCCGGTAGAGAGGTGACAGGAGCACTAAGCAGGTGGCTGGCCTGGGCAGATGAAGACTTCCTTCTGTCATTGAAACATTTTTGTAGCCAGAAAAGTACTTTGTAAAACCGCCATCAAGGTGTTCCACATCAATTGGTTTTGTTGGGGTTTTTTTGTTAACTAATTCCCATTTTAGCCCCTCTCAATTCATGTCCTGCATTTTGTGAGAAATCCATACCCTTTGTAGCTGTGGATGGTGGAACAAAAGGGGGGAGGAAAAAAACCCCAACTGCTAGCTTTCAGTCTCGCATTGCTAGTAATAAAACTGCAAAATGTAGATGATACAAGAGGCAGAAGAAAAGAGACTTGTCCCTGAGACATCACAGCAGGAACAGAATTGTCTCACAAATGTTCAGGATCATGGGAGAGGAAAGGTGACTAACCATATGCAAATGCTTTGCAGCCATTTATGAAAACCAGCAATATTATAGCAGGTTGCAGCTCTCTTACAGTCTTGAAGAAAATACACCACAAAACAACAAAACTTTTCAAAACATTTCTAACACAGAAGAGCTCAGACAAAAGGGCAGCCATGCTGCAAAAAAAGCAAAAATGTGTTACATAAAGAGATGTATTTAGTAAGACTTCAGAACCTCTACCAAAGCATTCTAAAGAGATTTTTATAGAACACAACTCCCCTTGATCTTGTTTTCAGACTTAGATAAGCTCCCTTCTGTTTAATGAAAGGACCTTATAGATATTCCAAGGAAGCTTTCAGTTCTCAAAAGCTTGCATTTCACAGAATGGCTGTGGCTGGGAGCAACTTGAGATCATCTATCTACTCCCCTGCTCAGAGCAGGGTCACCTAGAGCAGGATGTCCAGTCAGGTTTTGAGGATCTCCAGGACAGAAGCACCAGAGCCCCTTCTGGGCAACCTGTGCCAGTGTCCATCCTCACTGTAAAGGTTTTTTTTTTCCTTATGTTTATGCAGAATTTCCCATTGCTCCTTGCCCCATCACTGAGCAGAGTCTGGCTCTTTCTCCTTTCCTCCCCCCAACAGGCATTTATGCACATGGAGAAGATCCCCCTCAGCTTTCTCCAGGCTGAGCATTATCAGCTTGTGATCTCGTGCCCTTACATGGGGTGCTCTAGTCCGTTAACGATGCATCCTCATGGTCTACCTGGACATGCTCCAATATGTCCCCATCTCCTGTATTGAGAGCCCAGAGCCAGTCCCATCCTTGCTCCAGCTGTGTCTACCCCAGGGCTGAGTAGTGAGGAAGAACCATCTTCCTCAACCCGGATTATGTAGCTCAGGAGGCTGTTTGCATTCTCTGCCACAGGGGCCCATCAGTGGCTCATGTTCAACTTGGTGCACACCAACACACCCAGGGCCCTCTTTGCCAAGCTGCTTTCCAGCTCAGCTGCCCAAAGCACATTCTGATGCACAGTTGTTCCACTGCAGGGGCGGGATGTGCCATTTCCCTTTGCTGACCTCCATAAGGTCTCCATCAGCCCATTTCTCCAGCCTGTCAGTGTCTCTCTGACCCCACTCTGGTCTATCAGACAATCCCCTCTGCTGTGCATCATCAGCAAATCACTGAGCGTGCACTCTGCCCTTCCCTATAGCACCAAAAACCTTGAGCAGCACTGGTCCCACTTCCTAACTGGTACACCACCAGTACCAAGCCACCAGCTGGACTTCACACCACTGACCACTATGTGGCCAGGGCAGCCAGTTCTCCATCCACCTCATCTGAGCCAACATGTCCCTAGTATTTCCATGAGGCCTCCTATCCCAGCTTCCAGATCAGATGAGATGGGGTGCGTGCTGGGGGGTCTGGCCATAATTACTTAGTTAGGTCACATTCTCCATTAAAAGGGGGAAAGCAGACTTCATACTACATCACCAAGAAAAAATGGAGAAATTAGGAGGTTACTCATGCATGAGCAAGAGTAACCATGGAGGAGGAAAAAATAACCTTTCCTTTAGCATAAAGAGAATTAATAGGTTTTGGAGTTTTCCTCCTTAGAAACTATTTTTTAGTAATTGCCTCCCATCAATTATCATGAACTTCTTCCCTTTTCTCTGGATTCCCTTCTTGCCAAATTCTCCTAGATGCTCCTAGCACAATGAGCAGGGTTCTCTGGAGCTCTTAGCAGAGAGTCCTACCTGGGGACAAGCAGCCACGTCACCTGAAGGCAGCTCAGCTCCATTCCTACCAGCCTACAGTGGCACACAAAAGATGCCCAAGAAGGCCCACCCAAGAGCCCTAATTTAATTGCCATTTGCAAACGTTTTAAATGTATTGCTATTTAAAAAGCAATTTTGGAAAAAAACAGTCATTGAAACAATGAGAATTCCCCAGAGTTCCTTCATCACCTTCTCTTTCTCTTTGCACAGTCCTAAAAGGAAAGAAGCTAAGTCTTCCCATGCCTGTTTGAAGACATTTCCACAGACAATGCAAGAAATTGAAAAGATGAAGCTCTTCACCACAGCTTTCCTTTCCTGGCCCTGACTAACGGATGGCTCAGCCAAGTTTTGCTCCAGTGCCAGGAAGACAATGAGGCCTGGAAAGCTGATATGCTTTTTATCCATATGAGACTTTCCCTTTAAAAAAAAACAACAACCCACATTGTTTTTTTCTTACTTGATTTTGGTGCTAGTAGTGCTGGCCAATACTCAAGTAGTGCAAATTATTCTCTCCTGGCTCTTCCCAGCATCAACCTCCAAAACATGCCTCTACCTTGATCTGAGGCAGCACAAGAGTGTAAGGGAAACTGTCACTACCTTTAGTCCTGAGGTCCTTTCCCGAGTGCCTACGGCAAAGGGAACATGGTATTAACAAGTATGATAACATACAAAGACCACATCTAACAAAGAAGACACTATAAGCTGCTACTTTAACTCTGTACAAACTAACATCCTCCTGAAAGTGAACTCTGCTTGACTCCCATCTGTAATGTTACAAGTCCTGTAAAGTTCAGGAAAAATACACTCCTTTTGAATGACATGAACCTTCCAATTCCACAGGCATTCAAACAGCCCCCTCACACACTCACTTTTGGCGACAGTTCCTCATATTCTACAAACAGGGATCATTTCAGCTAAAATTCAGTGGGTTGCCAGCAGCTGTTTCCAGCTCCTTGAATTTTACTTTTTTTAACAGAACTGGGAAGAACAAGGGCAAAGATGGTTTCACACTCAAAAAATAAAGACCAAGTTCACAATTTATTGACAACAGTGTTTTTATTTATACCTACAAAAGAAAACAAGATGGTATCAAAAGGACAATTTACAAACTAAGAATAGTAACATAGCTCCTGTGTCTGAACACCACAGATCTATGAATCTCTCAATTCAAGTCTTCATTAATACAACAGGAATGTGTTCAGAGACCAGCAGGTGTGTGAAATGAGATGCTGATCCCACACAAAGCCACTAAACCCTTCCATTGTTCAGAGAAGTCCAAACAGTAAATTGCTTCAGGAAGTGGGAGGGGAGGAGACACCCTACTCATGTGACACTCCCACAAACTTTTACAGACTGAAAACAAGGCAAACAATACTACATGCTAATGCTTTATCAACAAGGACCCACCAGTTGGTATGTGGAACAGATCAGTGAGCACCAGGTGGGACAAAGGCAGCACATGCCATGGTGCATTTATGCACTGAACAGTCTAGTTAACACTCTGAACTGAGCTGAGCCCCTGGACTTCAGCTGACCTCAATGGCAATAAAGCACTGCAAGACTTGGCACAGATGTGTTATGCGTGCACAAGTCCCTCCCAAAACAAGTGAAAGCTATAGCAGACTATAAGGCAGCTTTGGCGGTCCAGAGACCCTCTTTAAAGCCAGTCAGTGAGATGTCCTACCCCTACACCCCTCAAACACATTTCTGCATTGAAGTCACAAATTAAAACAAAACAAAACAAAAAAACCCAACACCCTACACTTGCTTGCAAGGGAGGTTAAAGACAAATCAGTCAGTGCCTGGATAAACAACATGTTTCTGGCTTTCACTTAACACAAACTTTCTGCCCAAGCACTGGAATTACAAGATGGGACAAGGGAACCAAGGTTATGGAAGATCTCTCCCTTTTCCCTCTGTCAGCAACCTACCTGTGTACTGCACCAAAAAAAAAGTGCATTTATCCCAAAAAATTTTACTCTGGGAAGAAATTAAATGTAAAAAGAAATAATTTCTGCATAAGCAAGCGCTTTCCCTGGGCTATAATAAGTACCACTCTGCTATAGAAGGAGTGGGCTGCCTTGTTCATCCATATGCAAGAACACCAACAGAAAAAACCCAAAAGCCTGAAGTCTCGTAATGCAACGATGATGCCTCACAAACCAGGAAATGTATCCTTTCTTTTGTCATATTATCAGACCAAGAGCAGCCAACTCCTTTTATAATCTACTGTCTCTGAACCGTCTGGTATTAGAAATAACAAGTGAACATGCTTTACACTAAAGCGGAACCCCCCCCTCACACCCACCTTAGCCAGTAAAATAAACCAGTTTTATTTACGTATTTACTAAAAATTTCACTCTTCTCTAACATTTTCTAAAATGCTACCTACCTGCAAGAGCTCTGCTCAAAGGGACCAGTGGAACAGGGAAACGCACTCAAAAGCCAGGAAAAGCAATAATCAGAGCAAAGTACAAAAAGAAACAAAGCTTCAGAATCAAGATGAACTAACCAGCTCACCGCTTACCTCATGAAAAGGAGATTCCAGGTAATCTCCTCCTCCTCCTCCTCCCTTCCTCCCTTTGCCCTCCCTTCCAGCCCACCCTATTCAAACTTTATAAATTTGAAGTGTGGAAAACTCTATAGTCACATTTTATTCAGCACAGCGGCATTCAGAACATTCTCCATGGCAAGAGGTGGTTTGTTCATGAAGGTATGCTCTTCATCATCTCAGTTCTGCTTTGTTTCTGCACTCTCAAATTAAGACTTCTCTCAAGCAATAGGAATTTGAGAGCAGAAACTTAATTTTAAGGGTAACCAGCCTCCATGCATTGGCAATACTGCAATTTAACAATTGTAGAGAAATAACTTACTTGGCTAAACATCACAGCAGTGGTACCTATGGTGACAATCTGGGTTTCAGGTATTGATAGGTTTGGTCTCTGACACTGGGGTTTTATTTCCAACTTTCCTACTGCAGGCTGTAGGTACCAGAAGATGAAGAAAACAACAATGTACCTGGGGCGTTACTCTGAACACCGCTCAGCCCAGACAAATGAGCAGAGTTTTCCTATAGAAAGTTACCTACAATAGATTACAAGCAAGAATAGTGAGCTATTAATAAAAAATTAAGATTAGGAGAAGTGAGCATTGCTCCCTTGCATTTATCATTTTTAATGAAGTGCTTTTTAGCTCCCCGGTTTCCCATCTCTCTTGACACTTCCTGAAATTAAGTTAACATGTTAACAGAATAGAAACTTCCTCCCCTCAGACAAACCTTGGACACCAAGATAATCGAGCTGGGACCTATCTGCCTTACACTTGTTTCTTTTAGAGAAAATAAAATTTCCAATTTCCTCAACATGCAAGACAAAAAATATTTTTTTCCAGTCAACTATATATATATCTTAAAAAAAAAGAAAAAAGAAAAAAGAGGACAGGGTCAGTAATGTGGACTGGGGGCCATTTTTGATAGGCTCAAGGGATTTTAATGGTGAATTCTAAGTCTAACCTGCATGAGAGAGACATCACAATGGGAAAGCAAAAGGTTCCTTTAAATGCAAGAGGTCTACACTGGTCACCAGCAAGTGGTCTCATTTGCGTGTG